ATGATTGCTGCATCCTTGTTCGCCGCTGGAGTGCTGCCCATGGAATTTGTCGAATGGACCGACAACCCAGATATAATGCAGTATCCTCTGGTGTCCTACTGGGCTACAGCTACTGGCTTCATAGTCTATTGTTTTATTCTGCTGTTCTGGCAACGAGGCCATAGGATCTTCCTAGACACCTTATGCGTCAAGCAAGACGACACGACATGGAAGGCCTTGGCACTTCTCAGCATGCCTGCCTTGCTTAAGTCATCAGATTCTCTGCTCGTGCTCTGGGATCCAACCTATACACGGCGCCTCTGGTGTTGCTTCGAGATAGCTGCCTTCTTGCATTCCCGCCCAATCGGGCAGAAGGCGAGCGTAAGAGTCAGACCGACGCTGCTCGGCGTTGGCTTCATTTCAATTCTGATGGCACTAGCTATTGTTCTCTTGGTTCTAGTATTTGTTCCAGGTGATCCAGATAAAGGAAGAACGGGCAATCAAGCAGTCATGTGGCCGCTTATGGCTGGTTGTAGTTTCGTGGCATTTTATTTCAGCGTCATGCAACTCCGCAAGTTCTTCCGTTCAGTGGAGATGATACAGAGTGAGCTACAAGACTTCCGCTTCGACAACTGTTCGTGCCACTGCTGTGCCACAAACCACCAGTTTTCGCAGACGTGCGATCGACGGATCCTGACGATATGCATAAGCAAGTGGTTTGGCAGCATCGACCGCTTCGAAGACCTCATGCGTTCGGAAGTTTTGGCCTGCCTCACTGAACAGCTGCGTGGTGTTGGCTTAACAGCTTATCTTGGTTCAGGTCCTGTTTCATAAGAGATAGTTTCCGCTCCCTAGCTTAGCTCTCGGTTTTTTCGACTTTGGTTGGCTCACCTCCTCGCTCGGGACTTACACCCTCTAGAGTATCAAGTGCCCACCCATATCCCGTCTAGTGTCTACATGCCTGTGGCAAAGTATTCCGACGAGAGTTGCATCGAGTGCCCACCTTGCATTCCTACAGTGCCAATCAGCTTTAGGGATGTTCGAAGGAACTAATGCGTTTAAGGCTCGCAACGAACATTCTGACTTACCGGGAGTTTGTGGTCATGTCTGTGCCCGTTTTGTGGCACTTCCTGGACACCGCGTCCGAGCCACTGGACTGGTACCTCCGTTCCGGACACACACACAAACCTGTTCTTCGTCAGGAGATGCGGTCTTTCGCGAGGGAGGTCTGTCGAGGGCTTGGATGGGCTTTCGGTGCCTTGCCCATTCTTTTCCTGGTGATCTCGAGGCTTGCATGTTTGCTGCGACGCCGCATCGGCCGAAGCTATGGAGCCAAGATGTGTTGGGATCTGCTCATCATCTGCAGCATCCTGCTGGTCGCGATCGCCCTCTTCGTGGCCTTCTTGGTTTTGGAGCAAGTGTGTGGAATCTCGCTACTCGGAATCCTCGTGTTCGATGCAATCCTGTTTACATGCACCTTCTTGCTCTTCAGATGTCTCCCGGATCCCATGCGGCTGAAGGCTCAAGCAGTAGATCAGCGTGAAACTTGGTAGCTCAAGCTCCTTTGTCTTTTCGGCATTGAGATGTTTCCAACATATGTGGCCTATCACTTCCGTAACTGATTTGAGCAGCCGAGGACGCCCATGGAACAGACACATCCCCCTCTCTAGAGGAGATGGAGGTTGCAGCGTCCGCTGTACGCAATCGCATCCAGCTCTGATGTGGCAGCTTTAGAAAAGCAAGCCCATGACATGTCGATGAAGTTGTATACAGAGCTCTGGAGTTTGAAAGGCTTCCTGGAAACTAGGGCGTCCATTCCCTGCCTGAGCATAGAATCTTACTGGGCTTCAAGGACATGTGTCCTCACCATGCAGGGCTTGAGGATGCAGAGTTGAGCCATTGAATTTCAGG